TTTGGTTTTTCAAGCGCCCTCCTCCCCACACCATCGAGATGCCGCTAAGGTCCCTTTAAACTGACGCGCGCAGTTGTTCAAGATGATTTGACTAAGACAGAGTGAGAGCAGAGTCACTTCGACGCATGCGCTAGCCCTCCACGCGGCAAAATTAGTTGGTCAGTTAGTCGGGTAATTTTGGACTGACTCATACGTCCCCCTCTACTCCTGGCGCTACTTTATGTCCTCACACACACATTATGAAGGGCTACTCTATATTCCAATTTAGCTTCTGACGTCCCTCATTTTGCGCCGGCCATCTGCTCTCATTGTCTCCGGACCTCCGCTTGACCGTTTGTTTTTCCTCCGCGAACGCCTTTATGTAAGAATGACTAGGCCCGTTTGAGTCGCATTCTGTGGGTTGCCAACTAAAGATTTGATTTATGCAAGCGTCGAGTCTATACCATTTTGTTGTGTAGCTGCTTTTGTTACTCTGGCCACTTCGTATGACGCTGGAATAGGCACACTCCCTCCTCCCGAATAATACAGGTGGCCTTGTGCAACATTCCAGGAAGGGTATTATGAAGGTGTAATATGTAAGCTGAATGATCAAACCCAAACCTAGGTTCCCGGTACCCGTAAGGCGGAACAATAAACCTTTTACCTAAACGATACCGGTAATCCTAAGGCCTAACCGTAACCGAAGCCCCAAGCCATAACTCTAAACTTCCACCCTCTACCTCGAACTATGAAAATGTATTATGTAACCCTAAGTCCTAAGTCTAACCCCTTAACTCCACCGCACCTAACACCTAAAATAATTCAGAAAACATTCACTAGTCGTAAATCTCAACACAAACATTATCAACTAAACAAATGCCAACCTAAGCATAAGATGTCTGTCTAGATCAAATACGAACCTGCGGTAAAATGATGGAATTTACACCACTTCTAAATCCTTCCAAGTCATAACTCCGATCCAACTCTTCACACTGATCCATATTTTCATCGAAATGAGTGTATTGTTCTCCGCATAGGAAATCCTATTCATGTACTTAGGAGCACCAGGTTTTCTCTCCCTATAAGACTCTTGTTACCAATATTATTATACTATATATGGTCTTACAGATTAGCTCGGGATGCGGGAGTAAACTTATTTACTTCCAAAAGTTTTTAGGTGCATAATTGTAATGTAATCCGTTTATGGACTATGGCAGCTATACTCTGTGTGTATGTGTTTATCCCTTAAGCGTTTCACGTGTTAGATATGCTGGACCAACACGGGGGCTAGGTCAGGGCACAACAGGCGTTACTCGGGTTTCGATCCTCATAACAAATGTCGCATATGGGGGTGAGGGGATGTGGTGGCACACGCAGGTGTAAGCTCGTGCCGCGTCTACGTCCGATCCCGCTCTTCTTAAATATATGTTGACACCGTGCGTAGATGGGTGGAAGAGGAGAGTGCGGTAGATGCAGCGAATGTCCCCTTTCGCTCAAAACTTATCAACGCGCAAATCATTGTCCCTTCATCGCCATGTTTTGAAGCTCACGGTAGACCTCGTCGGATGCAATGAACGAACTGTCGTGTGTCCATGATTAGTCGGGAGTTGGCGCTTCGAGTGCTGAAAATATCCAAACTTCGCATTACGGTGGTATTCATTGTGCAGTCGTTGACGTTGAGATCGTCTTGTATCCTAATTTTTTTTGCCGTTCACCGGGAGAGTTTCCTTTCGGTACTGACAGTTCAAGTAGTAATTTCAGGTAGCTGTCTTCAGAGACTGGAGGTTACTTTGTACATATCTGATTATATTGCATGTTTATGCCTTATGCGTACGTTGCCAGGGTCGATTGTGAAGTATTTTAACTCCCGCTTCACTGTCACTTGTGTCGCCCGCGCCCTCGACAGCCGCAAAGTAAACCTCGGTAGGGCACAACACTAGAGCCCCTCACCGTATTGTAGATGGCTTTGCGCTACATTTCAAAGAGATCCTTGGACTGTTTTAAAGTTGCGAAAATTCCCAACAGAGAATTCAGAAGAATATTTAGCGAGCATACGTAGCTTTCGATAAATTCTCTAACAACCAAATCTACCAAACTACCCAAAGTCACTGGATCAGCGTTTGCTATCAACAGCAGAAGCAACCGCGACTCGTTTGAGGAAGCCGGTCTTGTGCGCGCAGAAGAACCTCCTGCAAGCCACGAGCTTGGCATGGCCAACGGTTACGTAACTACCTGCATCTTTTCGCG